GTACTGTATTACCCATTGTGTCTAGATTCTTAGAGAGACCTCCACTGTCTACCTTAGCCTATAACAGCATCGCACGTACAGTACTACCTCCAATGGGTTGGTTTTCACTTTGAAATTTAAACATAACATTTTAAGAAATTGTAAACTGAAAAGGTATTCTTTTACTTTCTGTTGCGTTCAGGCTGTAGGATATTTTAGCAGGTTCTTGCACTTTTACAGATTTCTAGTGAAATAGAGCGAGTGCAAATTTGGAGTCTGTATAAGAACTTTCAAATTACTCACTTCAATCTTCAATATACAAATTAAAAAGAAATTCAAATGTTCAATTTTTGTTAGTTTATTTTGCTAACTACCATATGTTACAACAAACATATGAAAGACTAAGCATTATATTTTAGGATGTTTAGATAAAGGAATAGTTTAGGCAGCTAAAAATAGATGATTTATCCAAGTTATTTTTATAAAGTTAACTTTTGGGTTCAATAAACATGTCTGAAAATGTCTCAGCCAATTCACTGCTTGTCTGATCCGAGCATGTATCAAAACCAGCCAGCCTCACTTGGTTGCATTCCCAAGAGGTTATGTTTTAAAAAAGAAAAATAAATAACAAAAACATTTCTAAAGGGGGGAACATGTGGCATAATGTACAATACTTGTGACACTTCTTGCCACCCAAAAAGGCAGTTTGGGATGTGCCAATTCAAAAGAGCTCAACATATCCCTGGGGTGTTGGTGACTCGCGGCATTTGTGGTTGATGTACACACATTCTTAAATTGTACTGCTTTAGAAATCCTTTTAAACCAGACCATTTTTATTGCCTCTTCTGTTTATTAAAAGTATGGAGATTGTTCCAAGTCACTTCACTAACGACATCTTTTTAACTTTATCATTCACTCTTTCTAGGTGCTTAATGACTGCTCCCACAGCTTTAATACTATTATAACCACACCTAACATAAAAGTCGATAGTTCATTAAATTCAATTATATTTGAGCTAAAAGGGCAAAGTAAGACAGTCTACACTTTCATTTTTGAAAGGAAATGGTGCTAGAACACCCTTTATGACCTTGCACACATTTCTTATTGAGACATTATGACAGGGAGCCTGCTTTGTATTAAAATTACCCATCTTTGTATAAAAATGCAATCAGATTTCAGACAAAGTCAATACAGAAGAAACATACATTGTATTGACCTTTTCCCGCCTGGAATGTTTATTCCCAGCAATGGTGTAGTGAGATATAAAAGAATCCATTTGCAATTTAAAATATTCAATTCAAATAATCACAATGTACATGATCAGTGAAAAGTTATACAGTAGCAGTGCTATCGGGAAGAAAATTATTTTTATTCATTTCGTTCTGAAAATATTTTCATTACCACAGCAGAAAGGGAGAACCTGCAGGGCCACATTGCTCCTTAACGTTCATAAGCTGGGATAAATGACTTTACATTGTTGTGTTCCTGTGGTGGTATTATATTGATCACATATGAAAATTTAATGTAGTAAAATAGCAGGGAGAACATGCCAATATTGTTGACCCCCTGCTAATGTAAATGTGACACTGTTTTAACTCTTTAAATGCCACACCAGCTGTTTCTGTTGAGGGTCCCTGTAACTGAGCTGAACAGCTGAACTGCTGCAATATTTATTGTATGTCTTGTTACTTTATTATGTCCCATTTAATTGAGAAAATCCGAGGACAGAAAGGGTTAAATGTAATGGCAGATGGAACAATGTAAAATCGAAAAGCTAGTGAACAAAACATCATTGGGCATGGATTTTTAAAACATGTGACATTGAAAAAGTAACAAGCAAAGACAGCCTGCTTCCCTATATTTAAACCTGTCACACTTTCTGATTAATATTTTTCACATGGACCTGTTGATTATTCCACAAACATGGGAAACAATATATTTAGAAACTGTGAACACAAGCTGTAGGATAGCAACATGCTGCTATTCAGAGATGATAGCCAAGCTAGAGCTGCAAAATGTCTCAACATGTTCAAAAACAGTCTTATTAGTGAGACAATTGCAGAATACTGGATCAATAAACACTAAGAATATACCTTTATCTCAGCAACAGATGTATCTCCAAGAGTCTGAAGACTCTTTTTGAATAACAAAGATATTATAGTTCTTTTTAAAGATTATGCATTTTTGAACAACAATAAGCAGTAGAATTGTGAAAAGGGCAATCAATTTCACAGCTAAAATTAATAATTCATTCAATAAGAACTTAACAGGAAGAATCTAAATGTAGAAAAGGCTTGAAGTTTCCAATTATTTTCCCAGATGCATGTTACTACAGTACATCCTTTAAACGTTTTTTGCTGTTGGAGTATTAAATGAATGATTTTATTTCGGACTCCACTGAGGTATTTTTTTCAATCTCTCTCTTTTACCAATATGGTAAAAAAATATGGGCTACAAAGACTGATCTTGTTAAATGCATATTCATCGCTGTGTATGATTTACTGTGCCTGATGTTTGATCTGCCCTTGTGAGACAAGATTAGGAGTTGTGATCAGCACTCTTTCAAGCCTTAAGAATTACATTGAAGAATACCGTTATCCGTTGATGAGAACCAAACTAGAAAAGAGAGGGACCGGTTCAACTACTATATTTATAGTGCCCTAAACTAAAAATAGGTTATTAAATATTGGTGTCTGGAACAGAACAAATTGTCCTTTGATCCATGATAGCAAATGACAGCCAAGACGTGTACTAATGAGAAGACTAATCAGAAGGAGATCTCCACCAGGGCTGATCCTGTCAGACATATGAGATGATGATGATGATGGCAGAAAAGCTCCTTCTTGTCATTAATGTCTCCCTGTCCCTGCATCTATCATCTATCCCTGCTCAAAAAGACCACAAATATCCTCTCCAGAACTTCCAGCTGAAAAAGCCTGGACACCTGAAGAACACTGAGCATCTTATCATTAGAATCAGACTCCTCTTACAACAAGCTCTTGGAACTGCACATATTTGTAAGGTAATACTATTTTTTTAAGTTGACTGACAAAGATTTTAATGCATTTAATATTGTGGACCATCGATAAACAAAAATTAAATAATGTCACTAATGTCAACAGTGGACTCCAATGCTTGGTCTTGTCAATCGATTCTGTTGTCTTTCAAGAGTTCATAACTTGAGAGGTATATTTTTCACCATTCTGTGTTTGGGTGACTCCTGGTGATGATAAACATGAATAAACCTCTTTAGTTTTGGTTAGGTTAGAAAGTATATCACTGAAAGAACAGTAACAAGGCTCACTGTAAACAAAAGCTCAAAAAATAAAGAATTTAAAATACTTTAATGATTCAAAGCCCCATTTTTCATGCTTGCGTACCACGTATAGTATGTAAGGACATAATACATGGAGTGTTCAAGTTTGGTCTAAACGTATCATGTACAGTACCATCAGAGTCCCAAACAGTGTGGTGCCCTTTGAATGCCACAGTGTATTGAAGGTTGGTGTCTACATTGACAAAAAAAGCACCACCTCAGATTTAAAAAAAAAACACAAAATAGGCATTTAGTAGGCACTTTTATCACATGGAACTTGTAGCCAAGAGCTACTGAAGAGTTACTGTTCTAATACAGTAGTGTATGTCACATTTTATTAGAACTGAGTATGGGTGACATAAGGATTTACCAGCCCAGGTGGAGATCAGTATACAGTATACACCAATGGTATTTTCACCACTTCTTGCATTTTTCATCCTATTTAAAGGATGCGTGTCCTTTATTTTATTTTTATTTCACTAAATGTGTAAGAGAAAAGTTGAGAATTACAGAGATTGTTTAAGGTGGGCAGATAAGGGAAAAAAATAGTGTGGTAAATTTCCTGGAGACAGCTATTCTGTGCTCAGAAAATGAAGTGTGCTGTCCACCAAAAAAGAAACAGCATAACATTTCTGCGATTCACACATTGAATTCACTGCAACCACATAATTCACGTGAAAATGAGCGACAACAGAAAACTTGCAAGCATGGCACAAATTCCTGAAGGTAACCGTGCAATGTGTGAACTGAGTATATTTATAACACTTGCTTCAATGCCAACTACTATTAAAGATGACAACTCAGTCCACCTAAAAATCAGAACAGTCTGTCAGAACAGTCCACAGTGATGCCATGATTATCCAATGACTGTAAATAAATAGGTTTTCTTCAAGATGGTATGTCCTAACAGCTTGTGATACATGCCTCACACACTATTATACTGCAGCATTTCTGAGACATTACAATGCCAATCATAATGTCAATGGTTCAGGACAATTGTATCAAGAGCCGTTACGTAACTGCCAAAGTATCGACCTTTGCTCCTGCTGAGAGCTACTGTATAAGGTGCCTGCTGCCTCCTGCCAGAGCTAAGCCAACCTCCAGTGTTGCAATCAGTTGTACCACCGTGAGCAAATGTTAATAAATTCACCCTGTACTACACAAAACCCCCACCAAAAGACTTTCCCATTATTTTTTTTCCCGCGTTTCTTTCAAAGCCCCAGCCCCGTGTTTTCAGGGGCGCGAAATAAAAATTGTCACCAGAGAACAGTCAGAAAACCAGAAACTCTGGCAATAGAAATGCCAGCTCATGCTTGGGGCAGATTCAGTAAAAGATATTCCTGCCTTCTCCGCAGTCATATGAAGGCAAGGCGGTTAAAGAAGGAGGAATACCATAAAAAGGATGCAATTTATTTTGTTCAGATGTTGGATTTTAACAAGAACGTTTAATACTTCAGTTTTATGCTGATTAATACTGTAATGGGGTTTAGTAAAAATACAAAAGGGAGTATGAAAAAAAATTAAGTGAAAGACTTGTAATAAAGTTAAAACATCACAGAGCTCATCTATTTGATGTACCTACATAATTAGAAATTGAAGAGAATGCATTTCTGGGCTGTGTTTCACCACCTACAGCCAGGTTAGTGGCAGACGCTTTGAAACTCATGTGACAGGCTTATTTCAGAGTACGTCAGAGCGGCTCAAATGTCTTGACTGTACCTTCTTAGCGCAGGAAGTGGGTCGAATAAACGGCTACAGAAAACCGCATTTCACACTCGCGCTTAGCAGAACGATTTTTTTTGGCAACTTTTCGCTATGGCTAGCGCTTTTCAGAACTGCCGCTCAGTTATGGTCACCGGTGCTAGCCGAGGCTTAGGTCTGCAAATAGTGGGGAGCCTGGCAAAGAGCTGCCACTGTCCGGGAAAAGTGATTGCTACAGCCAGAGAGCCAAGCAGAGCCAAGGTAAAGCTGTACAGTATGCAGTGGTGTCAAAAGGCCATGAGCTCATGTAGTGAGTGCATGGCACGTAAATTATCACAGCCTTTTCTGAACAAACTATGTGCCTCTTTTTACTGTGCTATAAGACGTTATGTCACCACCAACCTGAAAAAAAACAGAACAGTTGTATTTATAAAGTTGTTAGAAACGGTGCGGAAAATGTGGACAAAAAAATCTATTGATTTAATATTTGAACTCCTCTCCACTCATAATAATCCATATTTTCTTAAGGTATACAGAAATAGAAAGTACAGTATTGTAACGCTTACGGCCGACAAGCACTGTGTGTAAGAGCCGGCGTACCAGAGCGGGTGACGTCACCGCCCTTCCCTGTGATAGCAGGACCACAGCTACTGGGCTGTGGGGAGATCTCTCTTTAGCTCACGGGGCTGGGTCGCTGCAGAGAGACGCGGAAGTCCCGGGGTCGAGCCTCAGTCGGGATGGGGCCGACCAGATGCGGCAAGGGCGCCCGCCTGAGCCCCCGTTGCGTTACAGTATATTACCGACAAATGCAGACATACAGTACGGTATGCTACAGATTTCTCACGTGTCTCTTCCTTCTTCCATAGGAATTGCGGTGCTTGGTTGAGAAATACCCAAATATCCATATTGTGACACTCGGTAAGTCTCCCGACAAGTTTCAGTAAAAAAAGTAATACTTTGTACTAAACAATAATTTAAACTAAATAGGAGTGGTTGTTGCAGAGTTAGTTTTTTGAAGATTAACGAAATATTGCTGTACTCTTTTAGAATATTATGTGGAATTTTGGTCACATGGTTATAGAAAAGATATTGCTGGTCTGGAAAAAGTCTGCGAACAGAAAACAGATTCCAGGGCTTAATGGAGTGTCCTGCACTAACAGGCTGAAGGAAGTGAACCAATTTAATCCCGAACAGGGAAGATTATGATTGGACCTGATTCAATGCTTCAAAATCCTCAAAAGCATTGACAAAATCAGCCCAGCAGATTTCTTCCGAATGTGCAGTGAACCCTGAAATGGAAGACAAGCAGAAGCTACATGGAGGTGCAGTTCAAACTGAGAGCAGGAAGCAATTCTTAAAGGGTTGTGGGAATATGGAACATGCTAGCCAGCCACGCTGTTGAAGGCCTGCTCTCACAGTATGTTACTCTTGTTATCTTCTTCTTTTTCACAGCCTTAGTCCCAGACTGTCCTGGGGTCAGCTGCTTTTGTTGCCCTTCTCCACTTGTCTCTGTCGAGCACATCTTCCTCACTCACTTCACATCCCTCCATATCTTTTCTCACACAATCTATCCATCTCTTCCCCTGTAACCTTCCACCTATGTTACTCTTGTTATATGGTGATGAAATTGAACATATAGTTTGAAGTGAAGTCTTTCCAATGCACCTGCGATATTAACATGACTTCATTTTAATTTTAAGTCTACAGTTTTGACAAAGCATTTTGTGGACATTTTCCTGCTTCCCCGCCATTTGTAAAGACATAACTTTGCACATGAACATGTGAAGCACAGAACATGTGCCCTTTTGTCAGCACTTGTGCAGCATTTGTCAACATGAAAATTACTTCAACCAGTGTCTGCCCAGTCCTGGGTAGGACTTTTCCATGTGCTCTGCTGCAGTGTTAGTAGCTGCACAGCAAGCCAATAGAAATTCCATTTGCAAGTTATTTGTTTTAAGGAAGGGCGGTTTTGTCTCTTTCTTTAGATGTGGTAAATCAGGAAAGCATTGCTAACGCTGCCAAAGAGGTGGAAGCTCTTGTGGGCGAGGAGGGACTGAGCTGCCTGATTAATAACGCTGGAATTAATGTCGTGGCAAATTTGGAGAAGGTGACGGCAGAGCAGATGATGCAAAATTTCGAAACCAACTCTGTAGCCCCCCTCATGATCACAAAGGTAGTGTCTGTCCATTTCCAGACTACACAAATATTTTTTCTTTTACTTTGTTACATTTCATCCAGAAATGTCTGTATTTCTTGCAGAATGAATGCTTTTCCTCACGTTTCGGGATTACTAAATATAGCTTGAATGTTATGTTCTGTTTGTTGTGTGATCTGTAAGGTGATTGGTTGTACCTGACCAAGTTTACAAATGCAATTGTAAGGGGGTGTTCACTAATCCCAATAAGATATTTCACTGTTATTAATTATTCATTTTGGTTTTGAGATACACATAATTTAAAAGCCAGCCAGCCTATTTACATGATAATTTAGAGCTGTACTTTAAATTTTAACGTGCAAATAAAGGAATATTTGAAAAGGGTGTAGAACTGATCTTTTCAGAAATAACTGCTTTACCACATGAAAACATCTGTTCTTTCTAACAGACGTTTTTGCCACTGTTGAAGAAAGCTGCAGCTCGCAGCACTGGAATGGGAATTCACAGAGCTGCTGTCATTAACATGACCTCCCTCCTGGGATCTGTTGAACTCAACTGGGGTGCTAACGCAAATAACTTTAAGTGGTACCCATACAGAACATCAAAAGTATGTGTTTCTTGTTGTTACAAAGGCACGATATTATGGTTTTGTTGTGGTTCTGGGAGGAAAAAAAACAGCAGGTTACTGAAAAGTCAGAATATTGCAGCATGGCAAAAAGGTACTGTAAATGCCTTGTTCATAGGAAAACATGACTGACAAATTGTATTCATGTCTGAGTACATTGACATAAGCCTTCATCCACCACATACTGTACTTAGAAAAAAGTTTGGTTACCGAATGACAGCAAATGTTTTGTTAGATACAGAATTATTTTTCAGTTTAGGACTTTCGAGTTGCGTATGAATTACTGAGCACTGTCTTGACAACACTGAAGAAAAGGTTCTTATGTGATGTCTATGTTTATGGTGTATTTTTGGGTGACTTTTTGAATTGCCAGTCTATGGTGAAGAGCAGGATCTAGAAAGGCTTGGATAGTATCTTCAGGAACTCAGAAACCCTAAACCTTTCTGATGAAGCTTGGGATACAGGACGTACGCATTAATTGCCTCAAAAGACATTATGATCCACCTCCACACAAGAGTGTGACCAATATATAACTAATTTAAAAAGTCCACTTCTCATTTCAACCTGCAAGAGAGAATTTAAGTACTCTTTAAGTGAGTGCAGGTAGTCTTACAGAAAATATTGCCACAAGTTAGGAACAGCTGTATCTATTTTTACTTCAATTTCCATTGTCTTGATAGAGTCTGCAGTTACACTTCGCAATTGTTAACTTGCGCATAGAGTAACTGAAACCCAAGCTTACTCCACACATGCAAACACCAGTGCGTTTTTTATGTACAAACAATTGACATTAGCAGGTGTCCCCTCACCTGTGTGTTAAAAAAAGTTTTGTTCATTTCGTCCTTCAGGCGGCTCTGAACATGGTGACTCGCTGTCTGGCTGTTGATTTAGAGGCAGACGGTATCCTGTGCACAGCCATCCACCCAGGCTGGGTCCGCACTGATATGGGGGGGGCAGAGGCAAGTGATTCTGTCATTTGGTGATTTATATGGCGGCGTTTTTTAACTTTTCTTTTGCCGTAATGACTTTTAGTCTCGGCTTTTCCGGGGTCTGATCTGTGCCTTTTCTGCACCCATTTACGGAAAAAAGAAATTAATAAAATTCTCACGTCAAGTTTCATTTAAAAAAAGCTGGGACGCCTGTACCAAGTATTTAAAAAAAAACTAAAGCTGCTCCAAATCTTTGAGTTTTTTCTTCTTAAAACCCATGGAACTTGTAGCGTTTTGAATAGCTGCTTTCTGGTACAGTTAATGTGCTCTGTGCCTTTTTAAATTAAAAAAAAAAAATGTGGGATAGAAATTCAAGTTCAATCTGTTAGGACATTGCATTTCAGTTTTGCTCATGATAAAATGGTGTGAGTGCAATTCCATTCAGCCCCATTGAATGGATTTAAATGATACCTTTTAGTGGACATACAGTACACTTACAGAAATTAAATTTAAAAAATGTATCAAAACTTTTCTTATCTGAAATGGGCCAGCTCTTGGGTATTTGTTATTTGCTGTGCTTCCAGGCTCCTCTGAGTACAGAAGAGAGCATCTCTTCAGTTCTCTCTGTGATTGGCAACTTGTCTGAAAAGGATCACGGGGGATTTCTGCGCTACACTGCGGAGACACTGCCTTGGTGAACTGGTGGATGTTTGTCTGAGACAGGAATGGTAAATTTCTTAGCAGGAAACAAAAGTAAATCAGTAGTTCCCAATCCTAGTCCATTTATCTGCTGGTGTGTATTGCATTTTAGCTCTTTGGTTAAATAATTTGTTTTTAACCAGGGGTCTACACTTTCTACACTTTCCTTTGGCGTGGAAGATGCCCTTTTTTTCGGGGGTAGTAGACATGCCAGAGTTTTTAAAAGGTAGAGTAAATAATTTAAAACACAAGGAAAGTAGAAGCAAATTTTGTTTCATCAGACCTAGGTATTTTAAGGTAAACTTAAAAAAGGTTAATTTTCTATGTATTCTTTATTCTAAAAATCTATATTTCTGTATTTTCATTCATGTAGTTACGGTATCTTAGGTTTAAAGAACTGACCTACAATAATGATGTTTGATAAGGGGTGAGAGGAGATATTATGAGAAGCAAAGGAGTGTAGACTGCAGTAAAGATTAATAATAACTATTATTCATTACACCTATATAGCGCTTTTCTGGATTCTCCACTCAAAGCGCTTTACAGGTAATGGGGACTCCCCTCCACTTAACATTGCAACTGTTGTGAATATTTTATAATCTATCCCTTAAGCACAATTTACATGCAACAGTGATCAGTTCCAGAGCTCATTTAACTTACATTTCTGTCCTGCAGTTTGTCAATTGTGTGTATAATGTATGTTTGCACATTTCCTTTCAACAGAATGGATACACATGTGATGTACAGTATAATAAGCGAAACAGCAGTATCAGTTTAAATAATTATGAAAAATCATGATAAATAAACATCCTATATCCAGAGGGCAATTAATATTTTTTCTCAACTGGGACCTAATGAATATGCAATGACTGCTAGTTTCCTTTTACTTTAAGGTGTGCTGTAATAAAATAAAAATTCTAAAAGTGAAGAATACTGCACAACAGTAGTGTTGCTCTTTAAAAATCTGTTGCACTCAAAACCATATATGAGTTTGATCCTACTTTTTTACTTTGATCTGTATGACCTATAAAAAAAAATATACAGTATATTTAATTTCTTAATATAACTAGATTCCTTGATGGGAAGTCGACAGTCCAAAATGTGACAGTGTGGTTGGATGCTTTCCCTTGTCTTCAAATATTTATCCAATTCAATCCTTTTGACCACTTTTTATTTCATGTTGCCTTCCAATTTGTATATGTATGATATATTTATATTTGTTGTAGAATTGTTAGTATTATTATAATATATGAATAGATATTCATTATTTTTTAAAGACAGTGGTGTTTATAAATGTAAGCAAAAATAATAAGACATGGATAGCTTACCATCCTTGCAAAAACGGGAACTCCCTGAATTCTCATGCACAGAGTATTACCCGTTAAGCATGTTGTAAAACAGAGCCCCATGTGTAATTTCATTTACCAAAAATTACCAGAAAGCAAAAGCTCGATTTCTCATTTCTCAGAGCCTGCTAATTAAGATTAATTGCCTTACCTTGCTCCTTTGAAACGCCACAGAAGCTTGCAAATTGGATACATTTTTGCAAGCTGGTCATGAGATATGAAAAATCTTATGAAAGATTGAGCTGATTTTGCTTAATGGTTAGTGCCTATCTTTTTAACACTGTCACCAGCAATAATACAATATGATAATATTGTGTACATATAGTATGAGAGTAGATTACAGTCATGTCATTTTCCTAGACCCTTGAACAGCCTTCACACTCCTGTAACAAGGGATTGGTTTGCAGACTTGGCCCTGGAAAAACAGTGTAGCCATAGATAGGTTTTCTGTCTAACTAGGCTTAATGGGACCAGTTAAACAGCTTCTGCTGGATCTTCAGGTGCTTTTACATTTAAGACATTAGAAAGTCTGCAGACAGACACTCTGGCCCTCCTGGACCATGGTCAGGTACACATGCTCTGGAGAGCTTGGGACACTTCGTAAGTGTACTTTAAATCCAGATTCAGTCTGGACCACAATGACTGGAATACAGTGTTTTTAACTGGTAATGGACAAAATACATCTGTGGACTTGCGATGGACTAAACAAAGGTCAGAATTCGTCCAATACCTCAAGCAAGTACACATGTATCTTTTTACAGGGTAGTATAATATTTACCATCAAGAAGAGAATGATTACACTGTAACAGGACTTAAACAAGAGGTTCTGGAAATGAGTTAGTGGAGCAGGAGTGACACAGCATGTTCCTGGAGGACCATGGTCACCCTTAAGTCACCCTTAAGTATTGCATTTTGACCAATGTAGTAAATACATTATAATTGTCATTGAATTAATATTATAGAAATTAAATCTCTAAACTACTTTTAGAACTGGCCACCCCTGCTCCAAAAGTTCAGTTGAGGGATCTGAATCTTTGTTTTCGAAGGCCTACAGTGACCTGAAGAGAGTTTGTAGTTAATTTATTGAACTACTTTTCAGTTACTGCAGTTTAATGAGATAGTAGGAGCAGTTCCAGTAATTAAAGCAGAGAGATGTACTACAGCATGTACCAAAGCTGCTTTGACTAATTAAAGACAGGCATAAAGCGTAAAGAAGTGGACTTAACGATAAAAGAAAATGGCATGTTCTAATTGAGAAAATCAGTAATCATGCGATTAATGAAGTACAAATTAAAAAAATCTTCATTTAATTCTATTCATTCTGAAGATCATGATCTTGTTAATTGAGGTATATTTTAAGTCATTTTTATGTAAGTATAAAGTTCTACTTAAAAATCTGCATCTTTTAAAAATATATTAACAGTCAGTCATATTAAACTATAAAAATGAATATACTGTAGTTCAACTGCATTGTATGTTCTAACCTCCTGTCCCCTCAACATACCGTACTTATGGAGGTTCTCAGTGAATTCAAGTTTTTAACATCATACTGCAGGGTAGAAATACAGTAACAAACGTCTCAGTGTACTTCAAGTGTACACATATTCATCAACACTGATACAGTATGTCACTATGTTTTTATTAAACGTGAGCTAGGAACTGAAAATGTCAAAATACCCCTTTTCAGGTTTACACTAGCACAGGACTGCTAGCACAACAGTTAAACCATTTTTTTTCCATTTGCAGCTGTATATCTGTTCAGTTTGTCACAAATGTGAAGTATAGTCATATTTTTTAAAACCCTGGCTAGGAATAAGGGATAATACTAGGGATAAGGACATTTTTTTTTAAATCATGATTATGGCAAAAGGAAGCTGCACAAAGCTTTTTTTAAAAGAAATATTTTTTCCCCGAGTTCATAATCCTCAGTATATTCAAATTGATAAGCAAAAATAACTCAACTATGATTAATGCGTTAGTTATATTAAGTTAAAGTTAAAGAGCTGCACAAGCTCTAAATCTGTTAGAAGGCAGCCATATTAAACTAGATAAATTAATACAAACACTAGGAATTCTCAGGCACTGCAATCCCTAATCAGCTCTAAATTGTTGAGCCAAGACAAAGTGACAAAGCAAGTGTACTTACGATGATGGGTGATGCTAAATTTAAGTGACAGCCTGAACCCTCTATTATAATAATCTTCTCTAGGGCAATCCACATAGACTGATGCTGACATGAGGTAATCACTTCAAATTGAGCCTTGAATAACTACCTCTCCAGAGTGAAAAATGTCTCAGAAAAGCAAGTGCTCTCCCCCTTTACAATGTCCTGATGTAAATGGCAGAATTTTTGTTATTATACGATAAATCCCACAGTGGGCCTTAAAGTAATGTAGTCTTTGAAATGTAACCATGGGGGTGAGTGGCAAATTTTTGTTGACATGCCCCTAAAAAGTGTTGTATGATGGAGGGTTTTGTTCCCCTCTCTAAGGGGAAGGAGAGAGGTGTTTTTAATATTATTATGAGGGGCACTGAAACAACAAATGAGTATTAGGACCAATAGCAGTTGTTGCATTTTTCATGCCTCTCAGTATGCATTACTATGTTGCAACTTTGTTTACCTTTATAAAAAATGAGCTCAAACAATCCTGTAATTATAACCGTTTTCAGTTAATAACACCCAGAAATGTAAATCAAACAGTTTACAAATGCAATGTAAAAGGAAAATTGACAGCTTTGTGGACCACAGCAGGGTCCACTGCTACTGTGTCCCAGAGCAATAAGGCTTACTTATGGAACCAGGCTACATGAGCCATTTCTATGCCTGCCAAAGACTCATAAACATTTTCTAATCAGTTTCTTTATCTGGCTTGACTGCTTCAAAAGAGAACATTTTATTTCTGTGAAAGTCTGTCAGAAGCAGCAGCTCTTGAGATTTTACTGAGCTGATGTTTGCTGAACTGGAAAGAAATCAATTTAGGAAATCCTTTGGAAAAGCTGGGCATGACAAATTTAACTCTCATCCTGAAAATAAAAAAAAAATGAAACGATGGTCACAAGAGTCAATATTATTCTTAAGTACATTCAAAAAGACCTCTCAGCAAGCTGTTTGTTGTTCAATTTTTATAAACAAACTCAAATTTAAAAAAATATTCTTCATGTTCAATGGAAAATAAAATGATTAATCTGGCAAGGTTTCATAAACTAAATTATCAGATACATTTACTGTAATACATACATTTACTGTAAATCTCCCCCTCAGTTCCAATTTACTTTATACTCAGCACTTAGGACATACTGTATGTTGTTAACATATTAAATTTCAGAATTTAATTTTCTCTTGCAGATAGCTCTAGAAAACTAAAACCCAAGGAAAGTGAAAAACAATCTCTTCTTTTTCAGAACATCTTTGCAGAACTGTTCCGACTGTGATGTTCTCCAGTGTAAGTCCAGGTGAAGCAGTTTGAAATCTGGACCTCTCCTTTCGGAGCTTCTCCAAGACTTATACCACCTATAGTCCGCCCCAGATTCAGCTCCATTGCCGTGATTTACTTTGTATTTTCAGTTTCAGAAAACAAATGGTAAAATTAAAAAATGTAGAAGTTTGATCCGTTAGATAATTAAGATTCATTGCACTTTTGTTTCAATATCCAAGATTCATTCAGTGCTTAACCTAAACTTATTTCAACATTTATATTCTTATAGCATTTGTGCATATATCCATTTTCAGTCTCATTCTTTAGAACCTCTTTATAGCCATTTCAATAACTATCAGTGCACTGAAACTTCATTTTAGCACTCACTAGCAAACCGGTTCATTTTGAAGAAATGAGCCATTCAGACTCTCAGAATTAAGGACAATAGAGGCTGGAAATGAGGCCATAGATCTTTAAATTTATGTGCTTATGTGCACTAGGTTAATATTTGTGATAGGGTCCAGAAGAGTCAATAAATTTTGAAGTGGAAAAACTGACACAAACAAATTGTCATTTTTTGTAAAAACCCAGCTGATTTTTTGTAAATACCCAAATGTTCTATATCAAGAAATTCACAAACGTGATTTTTAAAAAATACCTTACAATCTAACTTCTCACGTAGACACCACCTGAAAAAAAAACTATTTTTTGTTTGGAATACAGTATAATCAGAGTTGTGCACAGTTCTCTGAGCTGCAGAAAGCTTCTCTTCAGATGCATTTGGATTTGTAACCTGCATGTCTGGATTTAGGCTGTAACAGAGTGCAATGGTGCAAGAGACCTGCCAGTATTAGGTCTCATTATCAGGCTTTAGTGCACAAGGGGAGGGTTAATAATAGCTAGTCACAGTGCACTTTTTCAAGTGCTAAAATGCTCATATTTCATTAACAGTTCCAGTACAGTTTGAACTAATGCTACTCTGCATCATTGTACAGTAAAAATTGAGTACAAATTGAGTACCATGGTAGGCAATTAACCCCTTAAGTCTCTATTTTTGAGAAAATGAAAAATAGACTACTATCTGCCAGGCGTGTTGTAATAAAGTTAGTGCGATAGCATACAGTAGCAGTAGTAGTTTCCACCATCATTATTTTATTGACACAATTATGACAAAATTATGATGACAAAAAACATATTACTCTTAATGCTTAGTAGCTAACTTTGTGGACTACATCAGAGTGGGAAAAAGGTTATGGCGGGAAAGCTGTAGCATACCTTGGAAGAGGACTCCAATTAGGAAATGAAACACACTTTTAACTCCAACAGAGTTAAGCTCAGAATCTATCTCCATTAAATAAACACAAGGTTTTGTACATGCTCACATAAAAAAATACTGCAATGAAGGGTAGAGGAGAGAAGAACTCGCACAACAGCCCTGTTGAAGTCGGTAATGACTAAGCCACACACTTCAAAATCACACGGACTTGTTCTCTCGCCCAGTAAGAAAACGACTGCCATTAAAAAAATAAAAATGAGGAGAGAGCTATTGCTGCAGTGTCTTGCTTTAATATTTATTTACTTGTGGTGCTGAAGGAAAGTAGAAAGTATATAATATACACTGCCGAATTACACATTCTAGTCTGGATAAAGGCCCAGAGCGAAACATTTGTTAATGGTTGGTCTACATATGTGGACACATCAAAAGACTCTATTACTCTATAAAGTGACAGCATGAGATAGCAGCGCTGTTTCTGTCTTCTAACACAGTCAAAACATTGCAGCATGCCGCCCACTCAGCCCTGCAATTATGGAGTCTCTCACTTAGTTACAAATGAAAAACATAAATCTGTGAACAGTTATTCATTAAAAAACAGCATCCGTACATAGAACTGGTGCTGGGAGGCTTGTAGCCCTCAAGTTTTATTTTTGGTAATGTAACACCCTGAAATGTACATCCAAATGTACTGAACATCACCTTTTTCACCTGAATAATAAGACATCCTTGCATTTATACAGCAGTTTTCATCCTGAAAGTAGTCAAAATATTTTACACATAGGAGAAGACACACTTCATCCACTATTGAAGTGCAGGACCCACTAACCCAACCCAAAACATGGGTAATGAGGAGCACCCCAGAAATGCACCAGCAACCCCAATACATAGTAGTTCAGTTAGAAAAGTGAGAAGCTGCTTCTACCTCTGAAGCAATGGGGTCTGGAAAGCTAGACTGTACAAACCCAGACTGGAATCTAGCCAGGACACTAGGTTTAAGACTCCTTCAAAAAGTGCCATGGAAGAACCTCTCATGACCAAGTACTCAGGACCTCAGGAGGGTTTCTGTTCAATGCTTCTCCCAACAGGTGTGGAACTGGTTTTTCTATTTTTCAGACTACATGTCCTTGTCATTGACTCAAACTGCATGTCAGGCCAATTAGGCCCATTCCTGTTCAAATCACTTAGCATATCACTTATACTTCCGCCCTTAAAGAAGGATTGATGCTGATGAAAAATACTCAAGTGAGGTAAAAGATGTGTCAAAATGAAAAAGTAAGTGAAAACTGAAGGAATGCATAAAAATGGGTGATGCAAATGGGAAATATTGGGGGAAAAAATCTAAAACTGAGTACTGGAGGCACAGGTTTACACAGACGATTGAAGGAGTCTGGAATAAACTTCCTGACCTGTTGATGAACATGGCACCCTGGTGCTGTATCACATCCTCGTCACATTTAGCTATTAGTAATCAAATGAGCTAGACAAGCCGTAAAGCCTTCTTATCTGCAACACATTGTATGTTCTTATATTCTTTGGCATCCATCTGCTCTGACCTGATCATGCAAATATTAAAATGACTCTCCTCTCACTTTCCCCCTCTCTCTCTGTTTATAAGCACAGGGTTTCACAGAGAATAAGGAACGTTCCATCAGATCACTGCGCTGCAGTGGGAAAAAAACCTGTCAATTTCATGGCTTCTTCCTTGAGCACCCTCTGTTTCAGCAGAAGTGTGAAACCATGCACTGTAAGGAGAGAGAGGAGAGAGAAAGTGAAAGAGTCAGTCTTGTGTTTTTGCATTATCAGGGCAGAACAGATGGCTTTCTGGAAAGATTGGTTCCAATACTGTTGCTGAATGCCATGGAGATTGTCAAGGAAGGAACTAACACCACTGACAGATCCCCGAGCTTTTCAGTCATGTCTGAAGGGTTCTGAAAGTTGTCTGGCACCAGATGAGAAGAAAACGGAGGTGGGTCACTCGGTATGAGAAGCAAAAACACATTTCACCCCTTTGACACAAAAGCGCATCTTTGTGTTGAAAGCAAATTGCATTGAGTCCAACTTAAGATAACTCTGAAATGCAGAGTACTCAACAGAAAAGAATGTACAGCTGAATGAACCATTTAGTGCAGTTAGGAGTTCAATAGTACAAATACATTGACACTAGAGCATGCGCTGAAAACACTGTTTTAAGTGACCTCACTCCACCCTGAAAAGATCATGTAAATTCCAGAATCCTGCAATTCCTCCAAAATCCCCCTGTGTGTGGAGACAATCTCATTTCTCTTTGGGGTGTATTTCAGGGCTTCCTTGAGTTTTAATGCAAATGGAGATTTTTTGGCTATTAAGAAAACACCCATAGAGATACTCAACACTTTCACTGGGAAGTCAAAATCCCTACTGTATGTCCTGGTTTCACAATACAAAGCACTAAAAAGTATTTTATAATCAGCACTGAAGCACACCCTTTGAGTGGACTTAAATCCCAAAAAGATTCAGAAAATCTTTATTCCCTCATTGGAATTAAAAAGTTTCTCACTACTGAATAAATTCCATCAAAAGAAACTACTGCTGTGATGTGCTTTTATGAAGGTATTATGAAAATGTAAAAAAGCTTACATCTTACCATCCACCTGTAGTACCATACTTGTGCTAATAAGGCTTATTATGTTCTGTTTTCACAGACAGCATGGATTGTTTTCTTCCGTAAGTAATGGAGAAGTGTGAAATTTAAGTAGTTTTCTTTAATGGCGCGGTACTGCTAAAATATAGTCATAGCAGAGCAAAAATCCACTCAATAAATATGTTTTAAAAGACCATGATTACTTATCATACTGTATGTGGCATAACAGAATTCAAACAAAAGTACTGATAAAAAACTGAGTAAAGTACACATCATTAGACGTTTCCTTAAATGTCAGATAGGAATTTAACTTTAAATCCCGGTTTATCAGATGCACATCAGGTTTGGAAAGGCAAATCCCCACAAACATCCAAATGAATTGGCATCTCTAAATATGTGCACCCAGCAATGGGGGCACCCTGCCTGCTGTTCACTGGAACCCTGTATGGAACTATGTGGTTGTTGACGATGGATGGATGGAAACAGAGCTTATCTATGGGTGTTTTTCACAAGTGATTGTCTCCATCTAGGGGCCAACAAATGCTGTACTGAGCTCCATGCATCTCGCCTAGAAAAACCGTGTTCTGCTCTGCATTTGTGTTATGAATCGTGTTGGCGCCAAGAATGTCTCAATCAATTCCTGGAAGGCTGTAGTGTCTCCCTTATTCATCTGAATTGTTCCTTTAAAAATAAGTCTGCTTGATACCGGAGATGGCCTGGTATCTTGTCCATGGTGTGGTACCACCCTGCCTCCTATTCCTCCACAAGAGGCCCAGGGTAACTGTGACTCTTACCAGGAAAATGAAAATGAATGGATCAGTGGATGGATGGATACTGGATTAACTGGATTTAGACTCTTCTCCGGATTTCAGTTCTGTCATCCGAAAAGTCTATCCTTTAAACGGAAAGAAAAAAACATTGGCTTAATCTAATTTGGACATGTTGAATATTTAAGTGCCTGGAATCTTAAAATTACTAAAAAATCCAGAAATAAAAAAAATCTGTGAAAGCACACACATACTGTACACTACAGTTACACCAAAAGATCTTGTCTGCTTACTAGGGGTGTCTTCTTGTTTTTCTCTTTTTAAATTCTTAGGAGTACATCCCAGTTAGGGAGTGAGCCCTTTATACTGTAGATGGAGCAACGTGCCTCAGAAACAATTCCCAGTTTGCTTCATTTCAAACCCAAAAGACATCTACATTCCCTATAATGAACCATTTGAAACAGTTTTGGAACCAAACTTTGTTACAGTGTGTCATAATATTTAAAAAGTACATTTAAAAAGCTAGCTGCCAAAATTTTAATGTGATGGTTGTGTTCCAATTTACATTCAGCTGGCAATGTAGTTTTTAGGTCCATGCAATTTATCTGCAGAAAATAAAAGCAGAGAATTGTTTTCTTTTGTTTTCATAAGCATTTTGATTATGGTTCTTGGCAGTTCTTTCAGTTCTTGGCAGTTAATATCTTGGCAAGAAACTGCAGGATCTCAGAAACCTGTCTGCATACCAGTCCAACTGGCAACCCCTACCTTTCTTCATCTTCCACTGATCAACATGTCTTTGTTCCTTTCTGTTCTTTCTTGGATGATTGCTGGCCTTTCCAGGTCTTGCACAAAGCACACGGTCAGCATCACCTTAATTTGAGATGTTCTCTGTCACCGAGCAAGAACATGATCTTCATCAAAAAGAACTTCGAAAGGTCTTAATTATTTAAGGCTTCATGTTAATAGAACTATAACTTTTAAATTCATATATTCTTTAGTCACCCAGCCTGTCCCAAATTTCTGAATCAGTTTTAAAAAATATATTGTCTCGGAATCTAAATTAAACTGGAACCAAGGCCAAGTCCTGTACTGACAGGGTAAAACAAAACATAGAGGATTACGAGGGGACCTAATGCAAGTGTTCAAATACTAAGGCACTGACAAAGTAAACCCAGCAGTCTTCTTCAGAATGAGCGCAAGCACTGGCTTCTTTCAAGAAACAGCTGGAAGACTCCTGGGCTTAATTACAAAACTATCAAACAGGCTAGATGAGCCAAATCGCTTTGCCATCATTCCTTTGCCAGAATTTCAATTACACAAGAAGTCAACATTTTCCACAAATTGGTCTTTTCATTTTTTGAATTTCTCTAAGAAAAAAAACTGATGTAACTTATCGTGTTTTGGGATATTAGAGTCTGAAAAATACATTCTGTTCAATCAGCGGTTTCAAACCCTAGTCCAGAAGGACCACAGTCTCTTCTACTTTAAATTCCATCCACTTCTAAATTAATTTAATTTGAACTTACAAGTAATTAGGCAGGAGCTTAGGTGAGTGCTCAGTCAAGGAACTGATGAGGTTGGAAGCCACTGTTTTGAAACATTTAGTGAATTTACTAAACTTCATTTGAAAGAGTCTCAAAGATATTATGAAAAAATATCTTTCAACAAATTCTTTCCCATCTAAACTTTTTTTTCCAGCAGTCAGCTCTATTATGGCTATTAAGAATTATGCAGTAACTTATTAATTGATGAGTCACATTATGTTTCAGCTTTCAGTTTTCAGTTCCTTTCCCTAAGCTTCATAATAAAAATATAAGTAACATTCACGAAGGCAGTCATGGGAAACTAAAAATAGAGAACAAATAGATGAGTTCAGATTGAAAATAGACATGTAGTACCGGTATAAGATGTACAATAACAACAAATAACAGAGGAAACTACAGTAGCTCCATACTTTGTCACTTTGTGTTTGTCTTCGCTCAACGCTCTTGTTGTTGAGGTACTGTTTGTTTGCCCAGATACATTCCCAAATCATTCGCAACAGAAATATTGGTGAGTACATAGAGCACAATGTCTGTAGGTGTGGTCACAATAATATAATAATAACATGGATATTAGCACTACCAGGGGGAAGTTATAGAACTGCTTATATTAAGGAGAAGAAACCTGAAAATGTTTTGTTTATGCTTATGGTGACTTCTCTAAGGCCTTTTTACACTAGGCTGTGAAAGAGATTTGAATGAGGAAAGCAATGATAAATTATCCAGCAATTTTAGTAGATATCTCTTTTACTTTAGTTATATGTACTAAGGCAAGATATAAACCAGACATAAAATTGGTCATAGCTTTAGAAAATGAAAATTTAATACAACACAGTCACAGAATTAAGCTTCTGAAAATAGAAAATGAACATAAAAATAGATTTCTGGCAACATTGTTTTTTACTGAATTAATAGCAGGAAACAAAGGAAATGAGAGCACAAGTACTCATTAAGCTGTCCTGACCAGTTATTTAGTTTTATAACAAATGACCATTTTTTGATGAAGCTGAGCTCAAATAATAGCCTATTTCACTTGGGTATTATCTAATCATTCAACCAGGAATGTTATTTGCATAGTGTTTAGCGATAACTTCAGCTGTGCATAGCTTTGCAAATAAGGCTTGCCTGTTACGTTTTTGTTCATGAGAAACAAGACTAGCCTGCAGAAATGAACTAGACAGAACTCAGTATCTTGTGCATTTACCAGGGACTGGTAAACGTGCTTAAGAGCACAAGACAGTCTGTGTGCTGAGAGACAAGAACTAGTTTTTCAGGTACTAACAGTATGGGAAGTTAGTGCAAGCAGGAGGATGGAAAAATGGGGATAAGGCAATATTAGGCTCTTTTCCGGAGAACGACAACAAAAGGTACTGTCTGTTTTAATTCTTCTTTCTTCATGATCAGCTTATGTAGAATTGGCTGTAATGGACACAGAACTTGCTTTACATTACAGTAGGACTGTCTACACATCAATCTACAAGCTTTTACTTCAAATGGGAAAAAACAAAAAGACGTGTTACCTAACGGTTTTACTATTTTTATAGAATTAAACAGTACGACACAATGAAAATAGAAGACAAATTTATCCCCAGCCATATTGAGGAGCCAGAAACACAATGTTCTGCATGCGATTTCACAGCTTTTAAGCTACAATGTTGAGCACAAATGTAGTAATAAAGAGCTTTTCAGTCTTAAAGGAAAGATTAAAGTACTTGGTATAAAGGCTTGCAACCTGTTCAGTGGGAATGGATGTCATTGGCTAATCAATTGCTTGTTACAAAATCCAGTCTTTAATTTTCAAATCCAGGAAAATGTAGCAAAGAGCAGTCCAGATCAGATTTGCTGCAAATGCTGGATCAACAATGTAAACATAAGTTCATCAGTGTGTAACAGCTGCTTCTTGCTTTTTATGTGTACAGTGCCATTGAATTGGTCCTATACGTACTGTAAATAAATCCAGCCCCTATTGTTTAACACCCATTGATATAATGATTTAAAGATGCAAAGGTCCTGAAAGTACTGTGTACTGGAAATCAGGATGGACTGAAATGCTCCATCCCTTTCATTATGTCTTTTTCAACTTGTCTGCCACTTTTTAATGCCGAGCCAACATGATTTCTTTGTACATCTGGTGGACAACAGTAATTAAATGAATAATACAAGCGAAAACTATCTCTGTAAATTGTATCTTTGCTTTTTTGTTCAGATAAAAAAAGCCCATACGATTTCGCTAAATGCCAAAAACGCACTTGGAAGTATTCCAATGATTTGTGTATAAATCGCTCTGCTGCATTTTCACTTGGCTGAACAGCACATTGCAGGTAATAGGAACTGCGAGTATAATGAAAAGCAAGCTTTGAAAGATTCTTCTACATCTAATTTTAAATATTCTGTTTGTCAGAGGTAAGAAAGCCTAACAAAATTGACTAAAAACTGCTGTACATTACGGCATAGAATGAGCATTGCTTTTCTATGTAAAATCTTTGCTCTGCTTTATACATGGAAAAAGAAATTGTACTATATGTGCTTAGCCAAAAATAAATACATTTCAGTGTTATGAACTCCATTATTCTCCTTACAGTGATTGATGCTATTTTGTTGTTTTGGGTTTTATGTGACTATGTGATTAGTTATTGTCGATGTTTTATGAGTTTTAGATATTGAAATGAGAAAAAAGGGGCCAGCAAACATGAAAATGTTGTCTCACTATCAAGCCTAATATTTCCATAGATGAACAAACTAATCTTGTTGTTCTGCGATGGCCTTCCATTAAATCAAGCTGATTTGTTTTTCATCAGATTACAACCATTTCATGCAGATATACGTGTTGAGAGCTGTGCTGACACCTCCACCATGTTTTATTTAGGGCTCAATCTCACTTGTAAATACACTGTTAATAATTCTAAACTGACACCCTCAAGGAACTGCACAGTGGCCTATACAAGATCAAATACCTGGGGCTCGGCTTGTTGAAAATTGTACAGTCAAATTATATTCCTATGTCTACAATTTAAATTTACATTTTGCAGCTACAGAACTGTCAGACTGGTTATCAGCTAAATAAGGGATATGAAGGCGAGTGCACTGGATAGAAACTCCTGACATTACTGATAATATTTGGAAATGGCCTAGACTTTGTTACTAGATGGTGTGACCAGGATTTCCCCAATAAACATTCAATAGAGCACTGCCAGGGATGAATGGGCATGAGTCAGCTGATGTTTCCTCTGCCTGGTAACACAAGTTTGTGAGCTTGCAGCGTCAGGGGTGAGTGACACCTTTGCTCCCTCTGGTACAGACTCTCCAGTTAGGCACTTGTGAGGGTCACAGCACGTCAAATGACAAATGGCTCTGACTGTTGAGGGTGCCGGAGCAGATACAGTGACTGTAGTAGTTGAGTTGATTGAACAAGGTGATCCAAGATCGAAATGATAGAAAAATAACTCAATTGTTTGACTACATTGCAGCACAATGGCATGTTAGCGGCACCACAGCAATGGCTTTCCATCCATGGGGAGAACAGTCTCATACTCTCAGATTCTCCCTTACACCCTGTGCTTCTGAGACAGGCTCTGCCTCATCAACAGGATTAATGTCTTACTTATAATGTACAGTATGACCATTTTGAGTTGTGACAATGGAAGAGAGGCTTTCACAGCCCTCAAACCTAGAGGTGAAACCTAGAGTTCAGTTGGCTGTGGTCATCTTTTGGGGTCTCATAGTTACCTCAGACAGCCCCTTTCCAGAACATTCTTTTACCCTTTCATGTCCCCTACACCTACAGGTCTGGAAGGGTGGGACAACCATGAAGCAGAACCACTCTTCCAGCACGCCAGCAGGCCACCCCTGTGGAGCTGTGTGTGTGTAATCTTCACATTCTGTCTGGGCCTCACTACCTCTGAGCACAGGTAGAGCTCTGCACGTCCACCTCCATCCAGATACCATACAGGATCCGTCTTATTCTGATAATCTACCGGCACTCTCCTCCTCCTCTGCTGCTTCTTAGATATACAGCATTATACAGTACAAATACATGGTTCCTGTCCATTTGTATACACAGGTAGAGAATTCGAGTTTCGCTTTCCAGTTCATGAAAAGAAAATGTAGCCTCCCAAGGAACATAACCCTAGTATGAGATGAAAATGAATCTAAAAAAATGTGAACAAGTGTATAACCGTCTGAACCTGGAAGACTAACAAATTCTTTGATTTTGCTTATCGTACCAATTTACCTAGTCTGAGATCTACCATTGGATATCTACATTTATAAATTTATTCAACAGTGGTATATAGAGTAGATATTATTTTTTCTAGCTGTATACCATACAAACAAAAATAAAAAATGTCCCTTGTCTTTTACTCCTTTTAGACTGTAGTCTTGCACTCTTAATGTTTTTGCCAGCTCATCGAGCTCGTGAGCACAGGTGTTCATTTCTTGCCAGTGCTTTGTGCGTCTCAAAGCAGCCTGGGAACAGCACACTCAGGCAGAACATGGCAAATCGATGAAAAGTAAAATCTTTGCTTTTACCTTTTCTACAGGGGTTTGCATGGCAAGAAGATATGAACTTCCCAGCTTTTCTGCAGCTTTCTTTGGGGGATCTTCGAATGCCGTTCTCTAATGAGATCAAATACACCATTTTGTCCCTTGCAATCCTTCTGTTTCTTGTGGCGGCATCCATATTAGCGTGGCAGATATACCGATACTGCAAACAGAAACCAAGAGCCAATAGAAAAGGTATATATTCAGTGCTTTAACCCATTTTGCCAATGGTCTCCCTTCAACAATGGGAGTATAAAACTCTGTGCCCAGTCCTATGTAACTCAGAAAATATCCAAATGCCCCTTTTTTCCCTGGGTTTTATTTGTCCAGCCGTTGACCTCTACCCTAAAAGAAAATAATGCCAGACCTGAACACTACTGAAACTCAATAAGAGAAAACACAAAAGTGATTCACAGTGGCAAATGCAAGGTACAAGGAGACAGTTTTCTGTCAAATCACTGTAAGAAGAATAGTGGCCTTGCCCCAAGAAACTGTAACAACTTCACAATCACAAACTTCACAATCACACAAAAGCTTGGATTAAATAAAAAAAAAATTCCCTCCTGCTAATAACACATTTCGAACATTGCTTGATGGCAAAAATATAACTTTCTTCTCTTCAATGGGAAGATTCCATCAGCTATCAGATCTGGAGCTGTAAGTGGACATTTTAATTTAACTCAACACTCTAATTAATAGAGGCAGGGATAAACACTCATCATCAAAAGCCACATTGAGGGCACTTTACCAACTGTGAAAAGATTAGCAGAATCTGGAGACTCTCTACCCACAAACTCATCTATTTTTATCCTTCATTTATTTCAGTAACAGGACTCCAAAGCACAGATGAGAAAAGTGCAAAAGACAGCATTGTTGAAAATATCCGTGATGGTGGCTCAGACACACATAACCTCAAGGTGATGGTCTTGTGTTCAACTTGAGAGACAGAACAGATCAGTAATGTGAGAGATAGGATGTAAAACTGTTATCGAATACAGTCACCTGGGTGAGCAGTGGTCAGTACAGCTTTCTCCTTTGGGTTATATTGTAAGAGATTTTTTTTTACAAAAAGCTTAATAACCTGAACTGTACAATCAGGACTGTATCTATTCACTGGGAAGGTGTATATAAAACTCTGATACTTTATTTTATTATTTTT